GCTTTCGCGAGAAATCGGCATTTTTTTAACTTCGGTAACTGCATTACGGAGTTCTGCAATTCGTTGTAGAACAGAATCATTTTCTTTAGGGTCATGAGCTAATTCTTTTGGTTTGTTCAAGCAATTGCCTGCGTTATCGATATCTCCTGTCGTATGTTTCGACATCTCAGCTGGCTAGTCGCATATCAAAAGTCATACTTACAAACAAGAGAACAATTAGGAGCGCAGAGAAAAGGAACCATCTCCTAGAGTTCAAAAGTTCCTGATCACTGATGATCTACACAACAACCGATGAAATGCGCTCTTGGTCAATGTCCGGACTCCCATCCTAACCACTTCATCGCCAGGTTTGCCAACGATTTTTATGTTGGGGTTCATTCTTCCAGTGTCATATCAGAAACGGCAGGAACATTTTTGGTTACCTTGCATTTTTAAGATACTGCAGGTGATCATTTAACAGGTAATCTGTACTTAAAATTATACTTACGATAGCGAACCCCCCATAGTAAGATAATGAGGTTTTTTTATTTATATTTCTGTTTTATTTACTTACTTATTAATAACATTTGGTATTTGTAATTTTATTTTTTATTAAATTTACGTATGTATTACATGACAACAGTTATAACTCACTCTATAGCCATTTCACTTTTAGCATTTCTTTGTGCCGGTCCTTTCTGCTACTGATAACTAAGTATTTATTGCTTCAGTTAGAATAGTTATCAGGTTATTAAGATAAAGTGATAATATATTGTTGCGTGCGTACGGGTTCGTTATGAAATGAATGCACAAGTCCGATGAAAAATGAACAAAAATTTATTATTATCACAACAAAAATGCTTAAATTTTCTCAAATTATCATGCAGTATTACAATATCTCACAGTAGTTATCCTTTAACTACTCAATGTCCAATAGAACTAATTCAAACAGCTAAGAACGCTATCCGCGAATTCGCTACAATCAACAAGAGCGTTTTCTAAATAACAAACAAACTAAGCAACTACTACAAACGAGATGTTTTTCCTCCTTTTATAAGATTTTAAAATCACGCGCTAGAATTTCCAGTACTTTCTCGAAATCAAAAAGAAATATTTATTTTTTAATGCACGTGCTCTTGTATTTTCAATTTTCCGGCTTAGCTTTCTTTTAATATTCGTCACGCGCTGCACTGCGCGAAATAAAACCAATTAATTTATAATTGAACTAATATTAGCTTTTTAATACCAATTCGTAACACTGCTGCCCCCTTCCCAGGACTGCACGTCCCGGGCAGTACAATCCCTGGACAGGAAGCTAAACTTACAACTGTGGCATAAATGCATTATAAGCATTACATTACAATAAACAACATCAATAAATGCAATACATAAAACAATCAATGCTATCAAATTAAAATAAAACTAAATCCCATTAGAAGCAAAAACCATGGTCTTACACTATTTACAATTATTTACATTACGTACTATGGCATATAATAACTACCTGTCGTAGAGTTCGAGACTCACGGATCCGAACCACGACGTCATTCGTGTTCAGCACTGTTATGGATCATCCGAAGTGACTGTAATTTAGACTCAGTCCTTTCGTTGAATCGGGTCCACAACCACCCTTGTCTCCTTGTTGGATCTATGTCCGTAGCTCTTGTGTCGCATCTGGTCTCATTTTATCCGTCGCCAAGTTGACTCCTTTCGTGCAGAACGATGCATCCTCTCAAACGGGGCTGGGCACTTGGATTGTTCCTCAGGCGATGAAGGCGCACCCGTTGTCGACTAAACAGGCGGTCCAAGGCAGACTAAGGTCTTGACCGAAGAGCTTCTGAGATGGAGAATAGCTGGTAGTCTTGCGTTTCTTTTTCGACCCTGGTATGATTTCGGCAGCTTCCGAGCTCGATCTTTCGGACAAGGCGTCGACATTTCCAGGCGAGGATCCCTTTTGAGGATGGATAGTCATCCCTCAGATGCTGAAAGCAGCTTATTGTTTTTGAAATCTAAGGAAAAATTGTATTTCCTTAAAAAGTCAATCCGAGTATGCATGAATCTGTAATATCCGCCACATATGCCGTGTGATGGTAGGCACACTTCCAACGTGATGTTTTACGTTTAACTTCCCAGTTATGTCGATCTTGTCCCAGACGCAGTCTGAAGGGTAACACAGGATGGCGTCCAAATAATTTATCTTTAAATGCTCAGCTAAATCTTTCCTAATGATGGTAACATAGCTCCTGTCAATGATCATATTGCAAGGAACTCATCGATATTCCATTGATGGTCAGTCCTTTATGTTGCCACTCACTAAGAGATCTTAAGCTTTAAAACAGGTTTTTCATTATCTGGCAACCTCCGTTCCTTGATATGGTCATAATTTGTTTCCGCGTCGTTGCTCAGAAATGTCTCAATTTTCGTACCCTGGTGTTCTGCAATTCTTTCGTACGTGGCCTTCACTCCAGTCCAGCCTTTGGTTTTTGTCAGTCTTTTCCTTCCGTGGCATTTATTGTCTGTTAAATCGTATGCCTATTTCCGTGCTCTGGGGATTCTGCAGTCCTTCTAGGTGGCCTTCAACACCGCTATTCCAGCACTTTAGAGTCGGTTTCGTTTCACCACTATTCCGTCTTAAAGCATTCACTGGTCTTGTCACTCATCCGTTTTATTATCCGTGCCCTGGGGTTTTCTTGCAATGCCGTCGTAGTGACCTTCAGAACCACATCTCCACATCTTACAGCCACTTTGTTCTCACTGCTACTCTCCGTATCAAAGCATCGAATTGTCTGGCTAATCATCTAAACGAGCCATCAATTGTCCCTGGGTCGTGGACTCGCACAGCTCTGACTGGGTAGCGATCTCTAAGAGTTGCTTGCTGGGCTGCCTCCAATTTCACGGCGTACAACAGAGCGCTTTTTACATCCTTTACATCTGCCATTCGTAGAACCTTCTGTATTTCGGGATCCCGGATCCCATCGATGAAATATTGCAGGGACAGGATTTCCCTTGTTTCTGTCGGGCACTCTGAAAAGGCGTGATGTGACAGCCTTTCAACATCCGTGGCGAGCTCTTGAAGTGATTCGGTGGGCTTCTGTTGACGGGATTTTAATTGAAGCCTGCTGTAGTCTTTTAAACATTTCTCGCTAAAGCGCAGCTCCAAGGCGCCGGACAGAGCTTCGAAATCTAAACCTTTGTTTTCGGAAGAGTCTGAAGAATATCCGCTGCGTCGGCTCTTAAAGAAGCGGCGAGATGACAGGCCTTAGCTTGGGAATCCCATCCATTTTGCATCCGCAACGATAGAAATTGGGTCTTGTACACTTGCCAGGATGTCTTCCCATCAATGTGGATAGCTTTCAGAAATGGACGAGCAGCAATCGGTAAGAATTTAAAATCATCACTCTTGCTCCTGCCGTCGCTACGAATTTCTTTAGTTTCCATTTCTTTGGCAACTGCAGAACTCTCTCATCAATTTGTTGTTCGATTTGGTGTTGGACGGCACAAACTCTTCCTTCAATTCGTTCCTCCACAGCCGAACTCTCCCTTCTATATGTTCTTTTACAGAAGAAACTTTTTTTTCTATTCTTCTTTCACCGAAGAAACTCTTTCTTAATTTGATCTTTACGAAAGAAACTTTTTCTTCAATTTGTCCAACTTTATTTTCAACTGTGTGAATTCTGCCTTCCATAGCTTCAAATTTATTTTCTATTATGCAGGTAATTTCTCTTTTCATTTCTTCTTGACATGCTTCAATCTTTTCTTGACCAGCTTGAACGGCTTTCATTCGTCCTTAACAGATTCCTGGCCCCAATTTCATTTCTTCTTTAAATGAGGCAAAGGCTGATATTAACTGCCTTAATTGCTCTTTCCATCGCTCTTGTTATTGGCATTCAATCCCACTTCTGACACCAAAAATTGTTGCGTGCGTACGGGTTCGTTATGAAATGAATGCACAAGTCCGATGAAAAATGAACAAAAATTTATTATTATCACACACAAAAGCTTAATTTTTCTCAAATTATCATGCAGTATTACAATATCTCACAGTAGTTATCCTTTAAACTACTCAAATGTCCAAGAAACGTAATTCAAACAGCTAAAGAACGCTAATCCGCGAATTCGCTACAATCAACAAGAAGCAGTTTTCTAAATAACAACAAACTAAGCAACTACTACATACTGAGATGTTTTCCTCCTTTTATAAGATTTTAAAATCACGCCTAGAATTTTCCAGTACTTTCTCGAAATCAAAAAGAAATATTTATTTATTTAATGCACGTGCTCTTGTATTTTCAATTTTCCGGCTTAGCTTTCTTTTAATATTCGTCACGCGCTGCACTGCGCGAGAAATAAAACCAATTAATTTATAATTGAACTAATATTAGCTTTTTAAATACCAAATTCGTAACAATATTATAATTCAATAAAATGCTTTGTAAATACGAGGGCTGTAATTAAGTAATGGCGACATAGGTATAAATCAAATTTTTAATGAACTTACAAGTACAAAGCAATTCCTTCTATATAATCACCAACAAAGGTTGGTTGGTTCACCTTTTTCGCTTAGTGTCGGGAAGCCGTTGTAGACCAGTGGCAAGGTGTTGATTGTTGATCTGAGGCGACCGAGCGCCCTACTGTGTGGAGTACAGATGAAACGTCATGAAAATCGGTGACCTCGGAGGGGTTCCTTCAACTTCGAAAACAGATCGAAGTCACAAGGACTCATATCGGGTGAGTAGGGAGGATGCTCCAGGATTCCCCACTGCCGCCGTCGCAAAAGGAGAGTGACATTATTTGAGACATGGAAACGAGCGTTATAATCCAATACGATAGGAAGATTGTTGTGCAATAAACGTGGACGTTTGCGCCGCCTAGCCGGGCGCAGATGGTGCTGTAATAGTTTGCCTTTCAGGTACAGCATGTGTAAGGATCACACCGTCCCAGTCGTATGCCATAATCAGCATAACCTTCACCCGACTGGGTTCCTGTCAAAATTTCTGTGGACGTGGCGAACCTTGGTGACGTCATTCATTTGATTGACGCTTTAATTCAGGCTCATAGGCTCGTGCCTGTGTCTCATCAATGGCGACAATACGCTGCAGAAATGCGTCTCTATCATTGCGGTATCTCTCCAAGTGGGTGCCAGCCAGTGCATACAGGTGCCATTTCTGTACTTCGGTTAGTCGATGTGGAATCCAGCGGGAAGCAATTTTCCTCATGTTGAGAGATTTCTTCATTATGCGCCACACCATTTGATGACTCGGACCAATTTCTAAGGATAATTCTCGGACAGTCCATCGACGGTCTACGGTAAGGAGACCGCTCAGGATGTCAGTCTGCCCTTGAGGAATGGAGGGCCCACCTGTACGTTGCAAATCCACAGTCTCATGCCGACCCGAACGAAATGCTTGAACCCATCGTGCTACTGTCCTATACGGTAAAGCATTTGTGCCACAGGCTTCTACTAATCCTCGATAACATTTTGTTGCATTTTTACCACGGGCAACCTCGATTTTAAGCCAGGACCGCTGATCACCTTTTGAAAACATGCTTTAGACCGATAGAAACGAAACTCCTTACTTTAACACCCCACAACAACTAACCTTCTAAGCAGATATACTGTTTTTTGCACTCTACACATCGACAACAGCGCCACCTCACCGCTCCCATATCCTATTTGCGCATGCCTCTCCTTCTGCGAGTCTCAAGGTTAAGTTGCCAATATTTAATTTACAACCCCATATTAAAATAATTTGATTCATGTTATTTTATCCCATCTTTTTGAAAAAACAAAACCACTAGTTTTCTCTATTTTTAACCGTAAGTAAAAGCATAAAACTATTAAATTTCAAGAATATAAATAAGAATACACACTTGGCGGGACACTGGTGCTTATTACAGGATCTTGATTTTTCTTCTGGTTTTAATGAAAGATCACAATATTTGTCGTCCACAAGCCCAGCTTCTTTTTCTACACATTTTGGTTTGGATACTTGTAAACCTACGAATAAAAACAGAATACTTACACCAACATAAAAGCATGAACTATCAATAATATACACTAAATATTGCTCTGTGTTATTGTATGAGAAGACCTAATTCATTTAAGTTAGGAAAAATATTTCATTCTTTACGTAACTTTTATCAAATGCTTATATTTATTAAGTTCTAACATTTAACCATTTTTCGTAAATACGTTCCCTCTAAAATTAAAATTTCAAATAAAGGAATGACCAAAAAGAAGCGACAACTATAATAATGATATTATATCGAGTGCGATTTGTGTTTTCACAAAAAATTGTATTTAGTAGCAACTGTTCATTTATAAAGAAGGGAGGAAAAGTGACCTTTTCACGCTATTGATAAATCATGTCCTGTCGGAATATGGATTCCCCAAATTTACCAGAAGATAAATGGATTGCATATTGAAATTTTATTCGCCCACCAGTGCCGAGCGATAAAGTAGCTAAACAGTGGTAGTTTGACTTGGGATCTCGTGTGTGAAAGCATCTGATATGTATTCGGCGCAGATACCTATAGAGTTTTGCACCAGTAAACTCGCTACCGCTACCACTCGACGTGGGTTCAAATTCCAGCAAATGGGATTGCTGTTTGAAAGTCTTCGTTGTCTTTCCCATGTATAATGTTTCCCTTATATTCTCCACAAAGATATCCCTCCCCATAGGAAGATAGCCTTCTAGATGTAAATCTTCTAGTGGCCTCATTAATTTTTCGTATTGAAAATGGTAATTAAAAAAATCATATTTCTTAATTACAGTATGAAACATGTACAGTATGAAAAATTCTTTCATCAAAAGTATTTGCCAATTATATAGCAGATTAAATAGGTACTGAAAGTTTAATGCAACCATCTTGGCTCAATCTGGTGATTATTTACAGATGAAAAGGTAACGTTACTTATCAAATGTAAGTTGGTGAGACTGATTTTTACTTTCTTGAACAAGTAAAAAGGAAGTATTATAATCGTGAAAAATTTCGGGCATCATATTTCAACGAAAATATCCATTTTCACCGCTATCGAATGCAATTTAATGATGTTTTTGTGTGAGATCCCTATGTAAGGACAGAATAAGGGATTCTTCCCCCGCCCAAAAAAAATTATAAAACTGATTTAAAATCAATTCTGAAGAGAATTTTTTGTGGCGTCTGTGCGTACGTACGTGTATCTCGCATAACTCAAAAGCGCCTAGCCTCAGAACGTTGAAATGTTGTGTGTAGGACTGCTATAACATGTAGATCTGCAACTCGTATTTTGGTTGCAGTCAGCCGCACGAATAAATAAATAAATACATGTATATATACAGGGGTTGGACAAAAATATGGAAACACCTTTAAAAAAACATGTTTCTTTGCTTAATATGGTGTAGGAAACCCGTTGGCATCCAAAACAGCTTGCAGTCTTCTCGGAATGGATAAATACAGTTCCTGTATGTTTGCCAAGGGAATATTATACCATTCTTCCTGCAAAACGGTGGCAAGTTCAGATAACGATGTTGGCGGTGGATAATAAGAACGCACTTTCCGTTCCAATGTAGACCACAAAGGTTCGATAATATTCAGGTCTGGTGATTGTGGTGGCCAGGGGAGATGGGACAACTCATCCTCGTGCTCAGAAAACGAGTCCTCGACAATGTGAGCTGTGTGAACAGGGGCTTTGTCGTCTTGGAAGACACCATCACCATCGGGGAACAAAGGTTGTACCATGGGATGAACTTGATCGGCCAAAATGTTCACATAAGTCTTGGCAGTCATGTGCCCTGACACAGTTATCATGGGGCTAGCAGAGAACCACGATGTGGCTGCCCAAACCATGACAGAACCCCCGCCATGTTTCACTCTTGGCAACAAGCAGTTTGTATTATAGGCTTGAGATGGCGTTCTCCAGACGTAAACTCGGCCAGAAGTGGGAAACAATGTGAAAGAAGACTCGTCCGACCATATTACTCGCTTCCACTGCTCTATAGTCCAGGCTTTATGACATAAACACCACCTTTTCCTGTTACGCGCATTAGCATCACTGATGAGTGGCTTCTCAATTGCAGCACGGCCAGCAATTCCCTGTTTATGAAGCTCCCTTCTAATTGTTTTGGTACTCACAGGGTTCGGTAACACAACATTCATTTCAGCAGTAACTTTTGCAGTTGTGGTCTTCTTATTTTTCGTCACAATTGCCCTTAATGATCGTCTGTCACGATCACTCAGGACACACTTTCGTCCGCGCTGTGATTTAGCAGATGATGTTTTTCCGCTTTTCAAATATGCGGAATAAATCTTCGATACAGTACATCTTGAAACACTAAACACCTCGGCTACCTTGCTTACGGAAGCACCTACCATACGTGCTCCAACAATTTACCCACGTTCGAAGTCTGCTAACTCTGACATAATGCAATGACAACCTCACATAACAGTACTTCGACAACAACTGAACTGTTTAGCACATTTACGAAGTTGTATAGGTGGCGTCAGTAGTCAAAAACGCCAGCGCCACCTACATATTTCATTAAAATCAATCTTTCTTTTCAAACATGCATTTCACAAGGTGTTTCCATATTTTTGTCCATCCACTGTATATATCCACTATGTTACTCGGCTCAGTGATCTCAGTTTGTTTGTAAATGTGCATTTTTTGCTTTAAAAGTGATTGAATTATGTTGTTCTTATCTTTCGGTTAAGGTTTTGATGCCTTTAATAAATCTGCATGCAATATTTGTAGAATTATTAACAATTTAAAAGTTGTTTAAGTGAGGCTAAGAGCCATAATTTTTTTCATGGCGGCCATGTTTGTGTACATTTGAAACTTGTCACAATAGTGGATTTGTTGCCAATCTAGAGAAACTAAGCTTCGCAACAACAAAGATAACGCCTTCTTTTATTATTGAGATTAAATCATGCTTAATCCATTCTGGAATTTATTCGAGGAAATAAGTGCTTAAAATTTACTTCGTAATTTTTAAATATAGATATTTTGAGTTTTTATGTACTTTCGCCTTGTCGTGAAGTGAGAACTGAATTAATTGAATGAGAAATATTGAATCCTCTGTAATGTGTGTGTGTGTTGTTGTTGTTGTTTGCTTAATTCCTTTTATACATTGTTTCAGGTTTATTATAGTATTTGAGTAGAACATGTGGCAACGATTAGAAAATTCTTTAAATAGTATAAATTTTGTGCTTTCTGAGTTATAATATGAATCAAATGTAACGCTGTTAAGGTATCCGTTCGAAACACTTTTTTTTTTTGAAAAATAATTTTAAAAAGATATTTTTTTTCAATATTTTGAAACATCTTCAATAAAAACCACATAAAAATTTGTTTTTAAAAGTTTTCTAAAAAATTTTAATTTTGGCTTAAAATTTCAAAAACAAATTATTATTCAAAAAATCCTCATATTTAAAATTTTCATTTTATTGAATGTTTTGCTTTGTTTATATATTGCTCTGACTTTTGTCAAGGGCCTGAATTAAGAGTTTTGATGTGTTTATATTATCAACTGGAATATTACAAATTGAAACGGTGATATAGGAATTTTCAACAATTTTTTTTATTTTTGTTAAAAGTGCATAAATTTACTAAAAATCATTGTATCCAAAAACGCCTAATTCAGGCTCTCAAGTATATTATAAAAAATAGTTATGCCAAATTTTATATGAATTGATCTAGAACTGTTTCATTTATCACTTTTTAAATGCTGAAATACGTGTGAAAACGTAGTTTCTCAAAAAATGCATTTAAAGTATAAAATTACGTGTACAATCTTTATTTTATACACTTAAAACCCCCCACATTTATATGTTAGACCTTCTACGCTCTCAAGTTTAGAAGAATTTGACTTTCTTATACCTCTCAGTTTTTTCCTGGCTTGTTTTGCTATTGGTAACGAATGTCATTTAGATACGTCAACAATACGTTCATTATCAAGAGTTTTGAATCCCTCGATAGTAAAAGGGCCAGGAGTAATATTTAATGCTCGTAACATAGCCAAGATTCCTTGAAATCCTTCATTAAAATACACAACAGCAATATATGTAAATGTTGGGAGCTCGACCAACACATCTTTTGGCACTATTTGCCATAAACATCCATTGAAATTTTCATTTGCATTTTGAGTTTTCCCATGAAGGCATTTTTTCAGCAGCTTTTTGTCACAACGTTCAAAATACAAAGGCCTTTATAGAGTTAATAATATTTTGTGGAAGGCCATTAGACCTTTCAGTATATTTTTTGCCTTCAGCTACAGAACGTTGATATTTGCACCAACTACCGATGCCCTTCAAACGCTGTCCATGCATTGTTTTATTTACTCCCGAACAACTGTGATAAAGGGCTTCTACAACCGCAGCCTGCATTGCAAGCAAATTATTTGAATTGCTACGAATAGCAATTCCGTACTAGTTTTGCAATTTATTTTTAAATTTGTCTCTCAGTTTTCCTTTACCCCCTACCCCTTTATGATTGATTAGCTTTGAATTTAAGCAGACGTGTCCCAACTTTTTTTTTAATATGCCCGATACATTCATATTTTGTGAC